ACACACACACACACACACACGCACGCACATGCACACACACTGCACATGCACACACGACACTGTCCCTATCGCCTTGGCTGCACATTTAACCCTCAGCCCATGTTTCCCAAAAAGACGGAATAGTTTCCTTACAAAGTTCCTAACAGAGACTCAAAGGCTCAAGTGGTAATGAACGACTCTCCCCTAAATGAAAAGGATGACCAAAACTCAGGGAAGGGCCTCTGGTGCCTCCCGCAGGGGCAGAACATGACCCCACCCCACTGATTATGGTCTTGATTGTGGGACTTGCTTCAGCCAATGGCATGTGAGTGGCCATGACTAAGGCCCTGTGTGGGGAGAAGTGTTAGGAGCATTGCACATTTTCTCTTGCTTTCCCCCCTGCTGTGAGAATGGTATATCCCAGACAGAGGCTTCTCCTTTAACCTCCATCCTGGAAAGAAGAAGACATGTGAAGCAGCTCTGTAGCAGATGGCAGTAACCTGCTGCTGATCTGTAATATGAACAGGAAACAAGCCATCGAGGTAAGGCACTGAGATTTGGGGGTGTTTGTTACTGCAGCAGAGCTGACTGTTACACCTGCTGTTCATGCCCATCTATTCCCTATAGCTGTAACAAAGGCAGATAGAGTTTCACTGCTGCCTTAGAAGGAAGCATCAGGAATAACAACAAAGCTATCCCACACTTGCAGAAATTCTGGCTCCATGGATGACCCCAAATAAACATTTACTCTATTCAGGTCCCTGTGTGCCCACACTGAAGAATACAGAGATATAGCAGAAGGGGAGGAGGAAAGGGAGCTGCCCGTGAGAAAAAGGCTTAAAAATTGTGGTGTTAAAGAATCAGAACGGGAAAAAAAACAGCAACTTGACTTTCAAATGCACCATACATTGAAGGAAGGAAGACACCCCCTGCCACACATCCACACACACCCACATTCACCACCTTACCCTGGAGATGGTTTTGTTGAGCTGCCCAGTGATTCCTGATAAGTCAGCTTCTAAGCTGAATATGTGGGTGAGACCAATCTGGGGAAGTATCTCTTCCAGGTTATATATTCCAGAAATGGAAAACCTTGGCAAATGCAAATCCAGCAGACTGGAGAGAGAATCAGACAGAGAGATGGTGTTATCTCATTATAAGTTCCACTCTCGCCCTGTCTTTTGGCAGCCTGAGTTGGGGGAGAGAGAAGTGACCCCAGTGTGAGGGGACACTACTTGTCATGGCAGCACATTCCACTGTCATACACAGAGCTCCCTTCTCATCAGGCCTCCTAGAATATATCTTGAATCTTAGAAGACTCCTGGCACAGCTGAATGTCTTCATCACATTATGGAGAGTTTTCTAGGTGCCAGATCTTGACTAGGTTTTTGTGAGGCGTAACTGATTGAATCCACATCATGACCATACAAGTTAAATACTGTGAACATTTTCCTACCTCTGTATCTGATTCATCAACAAGTTCTGTTGGCTCAACTTCTGGACTTCATTCTAACTCTACCTACTGGCATCCTCTCCCACCTGCCTAAGCTTCCATTTCCTGATCTGTGAAATGGCTTAGGGATGCCCACTCCATGGGGGGTTGTGAGGATCTGATGTGCGTGAAGTGCGAGCGACAAATCAGTACAGAAATTCTGCCTTCTGCTACTTTACCACCAGATTGCCACATTCCCTGGGTTAAGGTCAGAAATTTCTTTGGACCCAGAGCAAATCTGTTCTTTTCTCCCTGGGATGATTCTCCTCCTTAGTTATTGTCTGACAATTGCCAGGGCACCTGCAAGCTTGACTAGTTAATAACCAATTTGGAAACTTCTGCATCCAATGAATTCAGATTAGAGAATCTAATTTAGGTTAGAGAATTGTTGCTGGTTTCAACTCCTGGACAATATGAGGGTCCAGATGCCTTAACAGAAGTGGAGGCATATCTTGGCCCACTTGTTAAATTGTCCACAGGCCCCAGGCAAGAAGGGTGGAGGTGGGGTTTGAACAGAGTCTAGCAGAGAGGGTCTGATAGAGAGCTCCACATGCACTAGGTATTCAACAGCTGTGAATGAAAAGTGAATGATGTGCCAGGAAGCATGATCCCCCGGGGCAAGTTAACCTTCCTCTCATGTGAATGGAGGGAAACCTGGCAGAGTCTGAAGTCTTTATGTCTGATGGTCTGTGAAAATGCTATGATATTGTACTCTCTGGCACAGGAAGCATCTGAGATTTAAAAGAGTAGTGTGAATTGGTTTGTTTTTTTAAAGTGAGAAGACATCAAACCAAATTCCTGAGGTAAAACCTACTGGTCTAGAAGATTCTATCATACTCCCTCCTGCAATGGGAGAAAGGGGCAGGCTCACCCTGAGGGGGCCAGAAATTATGGGGCTGAAATCGGCAACTGACAAGAGCTATGTAGATTCATAGACAACAGGGATAAGCCCTTAAATCCTGGCCTCTCCCCTTGGCCTGTGTCTCTTCCGTTTGGCGCTTTAATCTCTGCCCCAACACAAAACACGCTTTCTCTATCCCTAGTACCTCAGTGTGGATGGGGCACTGAGAGAAGACACCTGTGGGCAAGAAGGGGGCAGGTGCCTACCAGGTTGTGGTGGATTGAAGACGGCCACCAATAGGTGGTGTAGATGACCCATCCCCTTCAATCTGGGTGGGTTCTGTGACTACTCTCACCAACATGATAAGGCAGAGGTGACATGGAGCTACTCTCTGGGCCTAGGACTTAAGAGAGTGGTAGCTTTCACTTCCTGTCTTTTGGAGCACTCCATGTTGGAGCCCTTAGCTGCCATTTAACAATATCAACCATGCTGAGCTGCTGAGCCCAAGCTAGCCTGGTGGAGATGCTGCAGGGAAAGAGAGATGCCTGCTCAGCCCTAATGTCTTCCAGCCAGCCCAGCCCAGGCACCAGGCACATGAGCAAAGGAGCCTTCAATGGCTCCAGCCTCACCCGCTATCCAACCCCAACACATGAGAACCACCCAGCTGAGCTCAGTCCACTCACAGGACCAAGAGAGGTGGTGGTTTTAAGCCACTTGGTTTGGGGGTGGCTTGTTATGCAGCAAGAGGAAACTAGAACTCAGGACTAGACTTTATCCCGGAGCACCCCATAAAATAAGATGCACCCCAAGAAGGGGTTAGCTGGAGAAGGGGGTCTAGGGAAACTAGAAAAAGCCAAAATTGCTGTGATAAAACCACAAGCCAAAAAGCAAGTGAGATGGAAGGAGACAGGTTAGAGATAACATAAAATCAGCACCTTGAGTTTTACAGTGCTCTCTTCGGTATTTAATTTCTTAAAAAACTTTTTAATTAAAAAAGAGGTACTTAAAAAAATACACTATTCTGTTGGAGTCATGATTATCCTTAATAACTGTCCTTGATCTGATTTTTTGGTTACACTTAACCATCTTCTGGCAGTAAATTATTACGGGGAGAAAGAGGGAAGCAACAGGAAAGGAGGGTGGGACAAGACAGACACCCAGGCAGGTGTAATCATGGTCAATGCCTGGTGGGCACTTTCTGTGTTCCACGGACCAGTCTAAGTTCTCTATAAGTACTAACTCAGTTAATCCTCTGGGTAACCCAATGAGGCAGGTATCATGTCCTTATTTTTATAGTTGGGAAAATCTGAGGCCCAAGGAGGTGAGAAAATTGCCCAAGATCACAGTTAGTAGAGGGCAAGACAGCGAGCCAGCCCTGCAAGAGGGGCTCTTGTGATTGGAGCTGACCAACCTGCTCCTGCTCCCTAGAAAGGTCTGCCAGAGTCCTTCTGCTCTGCACTTACCTGGGCAGGAGCACCTGGCTCCATTTTCTCAGGGTCTCTGGCTGCAGAGCGGCCTCCACCTGCTCCATTTTCCCTGGATCAGGGAGGATGATCAGCGCCAGCGCATTTCCGCTGTATTCTATCTGGAGGACGGTGCAAGCCACCTCCTGGTCATAGAGGAATCTGTGCATTTCCTTCTGGTGCATCATGGGTACGTGGAGAGAAGTCTTCTCTTCCACAAAGAAGCTCTCCTGCCTGTGGGTCTGGTAGCGATTGAAAGGATGCTTCCACTTGGCTTAGGACACAAACCCCGTAAAAAAACCATGAGAACACATTCCAAAGAGAGCAACTCTGGGCAGAAACACACAAAGCCAGGCTGGTTTGGTGACTCCTTCTTGGGTGTATAAGTATGAGACAGAGAAGAGGCATGGATACAGAAGCAGGATTAGAAGCAGGAGGCTAGAATTTAGGCCTGGCTCTGCCACCAGAGCACGTCACCAGAGTTTGAGCTCTAATGACCTAAAATTTTGTTCCACTTCAGAGCAACTTAGCTTTTAAGAAGCCAAAAGGTGTTTCCGTCTGCTAATTACCTTTCACATGTGAGGCATTACCTCTTTTAAATCATCACAAAAGTTAATGAGAAACAAGCATTATCCTCATATTAGGGATGAGGAAAATGAGTCTTTGTGAATTTATTTAAACGTCCCAATCTGCAGAGCCATTAAGTGGTTGAGCTGGGATTGGCGAATTTACTGGCTCCACAGCTCAGGCTGTTTGCAAGT